TTAAATTACACACAATAATACTAAAGGATGACCTTAAAAAATATCCTTTAAAGGTATTAAACTTTTTTTTTTTGTATTTGTAAAATAATAATTATTTATGGTGTCACTTTACGAGAAAAATTCATAGTCACCGTCTGACGAAGCACATAAGATAAAGAGTAAATACCCAAAATGGTCCCTCGACTATAGCTAAATTCACAAATTGGTCCTCGACTTTCAATTTTAACCAATTAAGTCCTTAACTTTGTAATTTTAACATAATTTAGTCCTCTGTCTATTTGACCGTTTGTTGACTGTGACTTTTGAGGATATATATGTAATTTCATGGTTCATCGTCGATTTTTTAAGGTTCTGGTTGTACGTATTTCCAGACCGCACTGTTACATTTTAATCCACTGTCGAAAGCAATCTACCAAATCCGGTCGCCTTTCTTCATCCTCCCTTTGGATTCAATGTAGTTGAGTTCATACCAGAGCGAAGAAGACGACGTTTTTCCGAACCAGTGCAACGTCATCCTGGAGGCCTCCATGTGCTCCGATGAGAGCTGAAGGTTCTTCTGAAGATCGTCGATCACGGTCAACAAACGGTCAAATAGATGGAGGACCAAATCGTGTCAAAATTACAAAGTTAAGGACTTAATTAGTTGAAATTGAAAGTTGATGACCAATTTGTGAATTTAGCTATAATCGAGGGACCATTTTGGGTATTTACTCTAAGTTAAATTATGCTTCTATGTAATATGTTATGCTTCACTTGGAGACCTATAACTGTATACTTGCAGCTTTGGAAATGGTGATAGTTTAAAAATTGGCATTTTATGGAGAAAATTATTGGAGTCTCAACAACAGAATAATTTATTTTCTAATTTTCTGGAAAAAAAGATTAATTATATTTTTTATACAACATCTAGTATTTTCAGATCGAATTTGGATCATAACTCTTTAACACAGCATACCTTATCTTGAATTATATTAGCAATCAACTTACCAATTGTTCCAAACTACTGAATTAACACTAGCTTTCCATTAAAAAAATTAGAAAAACATTCTTAATATATTTTAAAAGAATTTTGTGAGTTTTAAGGGAGAAATATGTCCAAAACACAAAAACACTCTAAACAATTTCATGCATCATAATTTATTGCGCCATTAGCATTTACTTAGTCTTTGATTTATAGAAAAATCACCATACAACTATTCGATATTCTCTAAATAAAGTTCACATTGTTACCTAGCTAATAAAAGTTCAAGATAAACCAGTTTAGATTGCACATAATTAACGACTCAAATCGAAAAGGCCAATAAATAATTATTACATTTAATTAAATTTAAAACTTTATAATTACTAAATTAATTGATATTCACATTTATTTAATCTTTCTCCAAAAGATTGAATTTTCAACTCCAAAGACCCCCACACCCCATCCCGACGGAGCATTTGGAATGATATAAATTACGGTGACTTAATGACTCAACAGACATTGTCAAATGCTTGTGCATACAAGAGATCTGTCCACTTTGAACATAATTCTCAAATTGTGACCCCCACATTTACTTATAATCTTAATAAGGGAGATGAAGATGACAGTTAAAGCTAACCTAACAACATTATTGACTTACAAAAAGAATAGTACACTGCTTTTTCTTTTCTTTTCTTTTTGGGTGTGCGTGGGGAAGCCGGGGGGGGGGGGGGGGGGCGGGGTGGGTGCGCTATACTAATTTATAAAATCGAATATGAACAAAAATAGTACTCCCCTACTTTATCATATTAAAGAACTAGTTTAGTACAATTACTATATTTTGCGACCAAACCAAATTAGATTAGAACCCATTCATCAACTCCAAAGATGACAAGTTTTGTGCTGGAGAGGGCAAGTGAGTAGAGCATATTTGTTATATTAATGTTACAAGCTTAATTTTTATTTGTACATTTTCAATCTAATTGATACATGTTTAATATCTTTAATGGTAATAAAAAAAAAATCTACTTTAGATGTTTATTTATGACAATTTAAATATTTTATTAAAATTATTTTAATCATAATAATATCAAACATTACTACACAATAAACATAATAAGTCGTACTGTGAACAATATTGTCCAATGGTATTGTTCTCTTCCCTTTTTCGGGGGTGGGTGGGAAGGGGGATCATAACTTTATTTCCTTCATAATTCATAAAAGAAAAAATGAAAATAAAGAACACATGTTTAGTGAGAAAATAATAGTACATAAAATAATATGAAGAGAACAAAATATTGAAAATAACAAGTAACTTAATAATTAATAAGATGGAACGGCCAAACTCATATATATATATATATATATATATATATATATATATATATATATATATATATATAAGAACAAGTTCTAAGGTAAGAAGTGAGAAGTGATATGATCAATCTATTTGAGTATATCAACGGTTGTTGGTTGCTGAAAAATAAAGAGAAAAAGTGTAGACTAATTTTATAAATATTACAAACTTAAAAGTATAATAATTATGTAGTACAACATTTATAGCATAAGGTACAAAAAAAGTTAACAGAAAAAATGTACATAAAACCAGAGACATAACTTGTATTGAAACTTATTATGTTTTTAGATTTAGATTAGATTTAGATATGTGGACGTAGAAGGTTTAAGTTTAGGTAAAAATGTGTTCCTAGTTAAAAAATAATAACTAATTTAACCTATCAATTTAGATAGATCAACAATTGATAGTTGCTAAAAATAAGAAGAAAATGAATGAGTCAATTTATAAATATTACAAATAATAAAATTAACTCTGTATTTTTTTTCGTACAAAATGTTCAATCATTGATAAATTTTAATTTGCGATTGTGATGACAAGCTACAGCCAACAGGCTACCAAGTCACCATAATTTTGTGAAATATGACTTAGCCAAGGTCAAATTGTTGACCTAAAAACATGACCGTATCCAATTTTGCCAAACAAAAATAAAATATAAAATGAAATAAGAGGCTTAGATTTTGTTTGGTACACCTAATTAAATATTTAGCTAAGTTTTTAAATTTAAATTAATTGTGTTAGACCATTAAGGTTAAAAGTATTTTGATAAAATACAACTATAAATTTAACTATAGTTTAAAATAGATTATAATTTTCTTAAAATGGTCTTACGAAACAAGTCTTAATGCATCATGTACACTTTTCTTCCTTAGTAAGAACTTAGCATAGTAATTGAAGAAAAACTCGTATAAATTTACAATTTTGTATTGAATTTCAAAAATAGATTAGGTTGATTTATCTCTTTATGAGCTTGGAGGCAAGTCCATGTAGTCTAAAATATAGTATGATGAAGTTGAAAACTCTGGATTATCAAAATTAAAGGAAAATTTGAATTAAAAAAAAAAAAAGTAATACTCCCTAAATTCTGAGAATTGAGAATTAATCTTCATAATGACACAATAATAGTAACTAAAAATAAATAAATGATAATTAAAATAATATATTCTTATTAAATAAAAAAAAAATTATAGGGGTTGTTAGCTTGCTCTAAAGTCATGTTCACCACCAACCACCATATATTTCTTTAAAGGAATTCTTGACATGGCATTTTAGAGAGGTTAGGTGAAGAGAGAGATATAATGAATTTTCACGAGTTATTGACCCAATTTATAATTTTATATCTCTTCAATTTGTATAAATCTATCTGCCAGTCACAATCAAAAATTTATTTAATTGATTGATTGATAATTAAGAGTTTAAGACCAATGGCTTCATAATTAGAATTAAATTTTACTTTATAAAGGTTGGAGTGAACAATGCCAAAAGAGTCGCAACAAATTTTCTGACATCTTTTACCTTTGTTGGTTCAACAATTTTATACATAATAATTATTATATTTACTATTAGTGTATTAATCATCTTAAAGATAACATGTCCTTTGATGAATAAACAATTAAACATACAAAAAATAAATTATTTATCTTTCTGCCTATTTTGCAGGGTATTACACAAAAATGAAGTTTGCTTAGTCTACACATTTAAATAGTAGATGTGAGCTTCTATCGTTAAAAAAAAAAAAAAAAAAAAAAAAAAAAAAAAAAAAAACCTTAAGCATCTTACGTTAAAAAAGAAGTCCAAATAAAAACAAGTTTGAACTAACCTTTAGATGCATGCATGCCTCCCATCTTTTTATTTAGCCTATTTTGCACTCATCAAATTATTTTAAAACCTTTAATGACATATTGACTTTCTTGATTTGAGCTGATCTCTTATAAATAATCGAGATTAGTTAAATCTTTGTGGTCACCGACTCACCATTGTCATCCAAAAATAAATGATATATGGATAAGATAAAAGATTCCAAGAATATTAATTATTGTATTTATTGAGCTGATTAAATAGTGGATGTGCGTTTGAGATTTGTCTCTATCTCGTACCTTAAGTTCGGTGTAAACTGTTATGCAACGATGTCGTCCTACGTATGAACCTAAATGTGATAGGAAGGTTTGACTACGTTTAGTTGGTGGAGAATGGGGGTTGGTGGATGTGCATCCTTCTTCTTAACAATATTCATTTTAATTAATTTATTAATTAAATCTTTTTACACCCACCCCACTCACTACCCTTCAAAAAAAAAAAAAAAAAAAAGTCAACACTTAATTCGCAAGTGTGAGTAAATACTTGTCTCCTTCAATTTGCGGGACTAGCTTAATTGATTTGACCGATTACAAAGGTCCTATTTGATCAAATAGTTAATCTATTAGTCAATTTTGATTTATTTGACCACCACTGTTAACTGTTTGACTTGTATATGAATGTTTGATTAATTAGCTTTTGTAACAAGTTATTGCTCTAAAATGTTAAAATTCAAAAAGCTACTCAAAATAACTTTTTTCTATTAGCTTTTTGAGAAGTCATTTTATATGTAATGAGCTAACAGTTAACAGTTAATTTACCAAACATTTTTCTACAATCAATTAATACTATCAACTAATTAAACCTATTAACTCAATCAGCTAACAGCCATTTACCAAACAACCCCAAAGTCTTGTTCAAATAGCAGTGTAGGAATCCGAATCCGATTGTTCACCTTAGGGTCATTAGGAGACTTTAATTGATCAAAGAAGATAAAGACCTTTTGTGCACTGAGTGTACATGCAGGGATGAAAACATGGAGACTGATAAGACAACTCGCAATGAAAATTCGAACCATGTATCTGCAATTAACCAGTAAGCAATCAGGAGAGAGGCTCGGTTGAATCAGTCTCATAAATTCCCCGACTCAATCGTCAACATTGAAGGCAAAAAATCTATCTTTCTATGCATATACTAACACAAAATGAGGGTTTCAAAATCAGTTCACCTACTCAGAATCCCCAGAGAACAGCGTCATGGACATGGAACCTTTGCTCCCATATCTGGGACCATAATCTTGCTCATACGATTCCTTGTCCAATAAAAGTTCTTTTCATAGTATCATCATGTGACCTGTGCACTTAGAAGCTGCAAATGTTACCTGAGAAGAAGAAGAAGATAGATTTTGCTAGCCATAATACACAAAGGAAAATGCCACTCTATAATTTAGTTTGTGAAGACAATTTTGATCAGTGATCTTCACAATTCGAGCAGAAAAATAATGTTATAAGCTTGGAGCCTTTACATTCCAGTGCCTTCTTTCAAGTCAACCACATCAAAACAACGTTTTTCTAATTCTTGGCCTTTAACTCTTCGTGTTTATGTATTTAGCATGTAATCGAGATAAGGATCACATAATGACACATACAAAATCAGATGCAAAGGAAACGGTTTTGTACCAAATCAAGACCGAAATGATGCATATAAAAGCAGAAGCAAAGGATCACAAATGATGCATACAAAATCAGAGGAGATGGAAATGGTTTTGTACCAAATCAAGACCGGGCTTTTTGCTGCATAAAACGAAGATTCCCCACTGTATCCAATTACCGTCATAGATGATATCAGTAGCATTGTCTCCATGAAAGATAATTGTTGCTAACTCGGTATCAACATTTTGCTTTTGCGAGTTCGTTCATGAACCTGTTATAAGTAAAAATATCCGGTATAAACCCATTATCCAACATCTCATCCACTACAATTTCCCCCTCTTTCCTTTTACCCTCCCGGGTAAACCCAGATATCAAAATACTATATGTCATGGCATCAGGCCGCAATCCCTTACTACAACCCAACATCCTCAACTTATTCGCTTCCACTGTTTTCCCAGCATTACACATATCACTGAGCAGACAATTAAACGTCACGCCATCAGGAACTATACATTCGCGTAGCATATCTCCTACAAGCTTAGACGCTTCTTCAATCTGTCTCGCCTTTCTCAACCCTTCAATCAAGGTTATACAAGCAATTAGACTCGGAGTGTTTCCCTTCCTCCATAGCTCATTAACCAACTCCATTGCTCTCCCAACATTACCTTCATCACACAGCCTCTCAACTACAGCAAAGTAATCGAACCCGCTTGGCATTACTCCTTTCCTCGAAAAATCGACCAACAAATCGCAAGCTTTGTTGATCATCCCCTTTCTACAAAGCCCATCAACCAAAATCTCACAACTCACACTTGACATTTCATGCCCTAATTCAATCATCTCATAAGCCATCCCAATCCCCTCCTCAATCTTCCCTTCCCAAAGAAACCTCTTAATCAAAGTGTTAAAGCTAACCACATTTGGTACACAACCATAGTTTTTCATCTCCTTGAACATCTGCAATGCTAACCCTAACTGTGAATTTCTACAATGGCCACTAATCAAGGTATTGAAAGTAATGAGATCAGGCTTGATTCGATCCTTAATCATTCTATTATAAAACTCAAGAGCCCTATCGTAATGCCTAAATTTAAGAAATCCATGAATCATAATATTATACAGAGCTACCTCAGGCTTTCCATCGATCAAGCGCTTCATAGTATCAAATGCAAGCAGTGCATCGTCGAATTTACCGGATCTGCAGTAAGCGTTGATAGCAAAACGGAAAATTGGTTCAGTTCTAGGGCAAGAGAAGATACCGTCGGCGCAGGGGCAGGGATTGGCGGCGATGAATTGGAGGAGGGATGAGAGCGAGTCGAGGCGGTGCGAGACGGCGAGCGTCCGGGCCATCCACTCGAAAGTTGAGTGGTCGTGGCGGAAGGAGTCGACGGAGGCGGCGTGGCGGAAGAGGTGGAAGTCGAGGTGGGTGAGGGTGGGGTGATAGTGGATGTGCTTCCTGATGAAGGAGAGGAGATCTTTGGGCGTGAATGAAGGCTTTAAATGGGTCTTCACGAGGCGGGTAAGCTGCGTTTGCGTGGCCGGAGGCAGAGCGCCGACGGTAGTGTCGAGGACCGATAGCTGAAGAACAGACGGCGGAGTTGGGTTGTGAACGGCGGCGGATTTCGGTACCTGTTTTGGGAGTTTTCGATAAGCCATTTTTTCACTCTTAGGCTTCAGATTTTAAATGCTCCCTTTTTTATATTCCCATTTCCCAGTCCCAAATTCTCAATCCTCGTTTTCATTTGTACCCCAACCAATGATATTTGGCCACGTCAGAAAATATGTGTGCAAGAAAGGAGGCCAACAATGGAGTTCTTGAAATTGAAGTGTAATGATTCAGAGGATACAGGAGAAGAACAGAACGAGATTCACTCGTAGAATATTAGTTAAACACGACACACAATATTAAAATTATCAATGAAGACACGTTGACTTGATAACCCCATTCGATTCTTTATAAGAGTGGTTTTTTAGCTTTCTCAATTTTAGTGGGTGAGTTATAAGCAACTTAGTCCGATTTACTTTCTGTTCTTCCATCTACCTTTGCATTGTTCATCGTTTAATTTTTTGCAATCCTCAATCTCTTCTCTCTATTCCATGTTGCCTATCTTCTTCTTGCTAGCTAGAGTGTTAAAGAACTAAATACATGGGATTCCTGAGCATTTTCTGGGAATTGGTTTTCCAGTTGATCTTTTGATTGGATTCTATATATTTCTTTGTTTATTCCCGACCGGAAGATAGTGTTAAGGTAGGCACTATTGTCAATAAGTTCAATTCAACAACTAATTAATTTAATGGCCAAAGTTGTGCGGCCCAACGATAATCCAAACTTGGAAGCCCATATGTTATTTAATGGCAAATTATATTATGCACCGCGGTGCATAATCGATTATGCACCGCGCGTCTTTTTTTTTAAATGAAAATAAACAGTGTTTGTTTCCGCCGTTTCGCACCTTTTTGCAAAAAGTAACTCTGTTATTCAGTGTCATTTTGTATACACTGCAGTTTCAGTTCAACACAACTACAGTTTCATTTTGATATAACTATAGTTTCATTCGATATTTATAGACTCAAATATGTGAAAATGTTATTTAATTTTATTTTATATACACTATAGTTTCATTAAAACACAACTACATGATCATTTTGATATAATTACAGTTTCATTGTACAATATACACTCAAATATGTGAAATGTTATTCAGTTTCATTTTATATACACTGCAGTTTCATTTCACTATAACTACAGTATCATTTTGATATAACTGCAGTGTCGGTTTAGATATACTGTAGTGTCAGTTGGTGTTTAATACACCAAACAAGCGGACTCCATTAACTCTAACGGCGGGCCGTTTCTTTACTTAAATAAAACGACGTCGTTTTGACAATGTAGGTTTAAACACACCGTAGTGTCTGGCGCGCGGTGCATAATCGATTATGCACCGCGGTGCATAATATAACGACCCTTATTTAATGAGATTAATAGCATCGTTACAGGCACAACTTAAATTTTCAGAGGTGAAAAGAAAAAATCCAAGGTAATTAAGTGTTGTTACTTGTTAGGCGTATTAAAAACCTGACATTTCAAGCGTTTCTAGTTTTATACAACATTTTTTTTATTGAGATAGGGATCCAAACTTGTAACCTTCCATTTAGAATAGTTATAACGATACCATTAAACCACAAATTACTTAGCGGTGGCTTCTCTTAGGAAACCAAATTTGAATATTTAAATTTTGTTTCAAACATAATTTTGTAGGGTTAAATTTATAAATTTACCTTAGTTTTGTCAGTTCCAGGGGCAGACCTACAATGGGGGCAGTGGAGTCAGCTGCCCCCATTCCTTATATAAGAGCACCTCCAACCGGCAGTAAAACACCAAATTTCAACGCCATCGCACTATAATTTCATCTCCAAGGGACAATACTAAAACGCCATCTCGCCAAATTTTTTAGCGTTAATGAACAGTGTCGCGCCATATTTGGCGTGGCACTGTTCATCTGCGTCAAATATAAAAGGGAGAGGAAAGTACCATTTTCCCCTTGCTCTTTTTTAAAATTCCAAATGTATCCTTTTTTTGTTTTATATATAATTTTTTATTTTGTTAAATACTTATACTTAAAGTTTGTATTATTAAATATAAATTATACCATTTTAAAGATCTCGTTGAGACGATCGAAACAAGACTATATTGAATATATATTAATTAAAATTTCAAATGCATCAAACATAACAAGAACATAATAAAAATTAAAATACATACAATATACATAAAAAATGACTAGAACATAATATAAATTAAAATACATATGACATAATATTGATATTAGACAATTTAAAGATAAAGAAGCGCTCATTATGCACTTTGTAATGCATTGATTGAGCATTTGTGAAAACGATTTAGTAATTCCGATAATTCAATGTAATAGATGTTGTATACTATATTATTATAGAATAAATTAAAATTTTTAAAATAATTAATGTTATAAAAAAATTAATTTTAATAAAAATTATTATTTACATTACAAATTATATTTTATATTAAACTAATTAAGTTCGAACTAAATTATATTAAACTAACTAAATTCAAATTAATAATTGAAAAATAATTTTTTTTTTTAGTGTAAAAGTTTGGTGTTTTGGTGTAAATGGGTTGGAGATGAATAAAATTTGGTGTGAGAATATGCTGAGAATATTCCTTTTGATGTGACATTTGCTGGAAAAATTTGGTGTTTTGGGGTTGGATGGGTTGGAGATGCTCTAACCCTTGTAAGTATATGTGTATATATAGTACAAGTTTTAGTATAAGTATTATAAAATAGAGAAAAATTATTAGAATATGGCTTAGCCTAGTTGGCTGAGTGCGTGGTTGGCCTGAACATAGTCTAGGGTTTGATTTTCCTTATCTACTTTCAACATTTTCTTATCTTATTAACACTACATTTTCTCATTATTTCACATTTTCACTATTATTAATAGTACATATTGCTTCAACACAATAATATAATCTTCATTTATATATTAATAATGAGATGAAATGTGTAATTTATAATGGATCTTTTATTCAAATTATTTTATCAAATTAATTATGTTCATATTTTGTTATGAATATTTTTATAATGTTTTGATGTGTTTTATAATTTTCTTATATCCAACATTATTTATAGCTATACTTTTTAAGAGTTTCATTTTTTTTCTAATTATCAATTTTGTTAATATTTTACCCCTGCTGAAAAAAATTCTTGGGTCCGCCACTGGTCAGTTCCATCCCATATTTCCCTCCAATACATAGGCTGCTGACACAAAATACGTACATATATAATTTTCTTCCAAACCTATGACTTCCCAATTCAACCCATATAACATTGATTTATACGTAGTGTAACCATATCTAAGTTAGTTGTTCTTGGAGGCCGGAATTCAAGAACACAGTGCTTTGAAACTGGTATAATATATATGTCCAAAAATAATTTTGTTTATAAACAAAGGTTTTAGTAATGGTGATATATATATTTGATGGGTTCAAATTAAAATTTAAAAAAAAAAACAATAAATAACTTTCAAAAAATTAAATTTAGAATCTTATAATCCAAACATACAAGTTAAGTGATCAACAAACCTAACTAAATTAAAATTGCTCCACTGACTAAATTGCACACTAAAATTAAACATGATTTTAACTGATATTAGTCAGAAAAAAAAAAAAAGAAAAAAAAAAAAAAAAGAAAGAATAGGGCCCATGCATGTAGCATGCATGCACGTAAATTAAACTTTTTAATAATTATCAGAAAAGGTATCGTGCAAAAAGCTGCTTTACATTCGTATCTATCACTTTTGGGTTTATCTTTTTTGGCGTCACGCCCTTATCCGTCTCTATCCCATTCATTAAAAATAATACATAATTATTTAACCTATCTCACATTGTTAATCGCTCACCAAACCTTGTATGTGTAATCCTATGGTTCCCTAAACCCTATCCTGATTTATGAAAAAATTTATAAAGTTATTCGAATGTGTGTATTTTTGTATAAAACTCATTTTGTAATTTTAACTCGCAAATAATCACATGAAATTATACTAATATATATAGTTTACCATAACAGAAAGGTTCAAACCAAATGTTATAAACCGCTGGAAGTCGAATTTGGCACTAACTCTATTCTCTAACTTAGAATCGATCAGTATCTTCTCATAAAGTATCATATATATTTGATGCGATTCTATTCATGATTTCTAAAAGAACATTATATGGGAACAAAGAGCTGTTTGTAGTTGACTTGCACCAGAAAGGATGGCAGGTGTAGTCTTGTATAGGAGCTATTAATTAATAAAGGGAATCTTATTCCATCCCCTTTAGATATCTGATCATCTGATCTATCTCATGATGATTCTTTCTTCGATAATATATATGGATCCTTATTTTTCACAATAACGTTAATTTGGTACATATAGTTGGTTCTTACCTGGTGTTCCTTTATGGGGGAGAGGAATATATATATAAATGTATTTTTGCAGATTTCAAGAAACATATCAGAGCTTTTCCTTTTTATGAAAGGTTGTCTTGTAGCAAGTGGTGGAACGCACAACTCAGCTCCCACTGCAAATTTTGATGGTTGAAGAATAATACTTTGTGATATTTAAAGTCAGCTCAGCTCGTCCTGGAATCGGAGCTGTCGTCAGTGTGGGTTTGTGGCGACATGTAGAATCATTTCTGCATACATTCTACAGAATCTACGCTACTTTATTATTCCCATTAATGCATTCTTTTAATTTGAATTATGACGAAAACCTGCAATCACTATAAGAATATGTATGTTCATTGAATGATAAAATTATATTTTTAGGATCGGATTTGACTAAGAAAATATTGACAATAATTAAACTTGTGACATTCAGGTATGAGAGTATTAAGGGGTGGAGACCGATAAAGGGTTTAAAGGGCAAAGTCCAACACCTAGTGTCTCTAAAATGTGCAACGGTATAAGGTAATAAAGTTACACTTTCACTACTAACTATAACTTTTGATGTGGATGATAAGTACTTAATCCTAACAAGTTGCTCTAGGCGGCACTTGAACACTCCTTTCCGGACATCATTAAAGCATTTTTTTTTATGATCAAAGATCAGAGTACCAAAATGTGATGAGAACATGCATGTGTTACACAAAACTTTTAGGGCAAACACTAGACAAAGTGTTAGACAATAATCAAACTCATGACTTGTTTATAGATACGAGAATC